GTTAGGGTTGCAGGCTTTTTCGTCAGCCTGCCACTCTTCGTGAGCACGGTTTGCTGCCCTCCCCGAAAGGCTACTGAGTTTGTAAAGAGGTTTGTTGAGGGAAGTTCTCATTAGGTGGAAAAATGAAGTGGTGAGATGTGGCTTCCGATCCAACAGCGAGGGGGAGCAACCTCCACCCGGCCCCTGGGCTCTGCCCGTGCTCCCCGACCCGCAGGTTGCAGTCCTCAGAGCTCCTCTGGTTGGGGAGGCTCCTGGCGAGGCTTCATCGCTCTGAACGGCTTTGAGTTGCACAGGAAAAACAGCTGGCTGTAAACACAGAGATGGCTTTGGGTATTTTTAGAAAGCCGATGTAAAAAGAAGTTGATAGAGACTGGTATGCACAGTATGATTAAGTCAGAATAAAATTACGGTGTTTTGTGTACTTATTTACTGACTGTACCATACCAAAGGATTTCTAAGAACATCTGGGACTTCCAGAGTCAACTACTGAAAGTTTCCAAATATAAAAGTTAGGGTTATTTATGGACACTTAATTCAGCTTCCTCGTATTATAGTGCAGGCTTGGCAAATTGATCATGTAGGTCTTTGCTTTTTCTTTGACACCCTCAACAAACAAGCTGGACTCTAAACAGATCTCAAAGTTTATAGCCTTTTAAAATGTGGGTGGACTTTGAAAAGGACAACAAAAGGAGTGGTCTTGGGTGGGTCCCTTGCTGAATTTCACATCCTTTTGAAAATTGATGGTTTAGTTTGGGGTTTTTTTCATGGCTTAGAAGAATGCATGTTTTGCTTCTATATCTCATCTTAGAATCAAGTAAGGTCTCAAAGAATTTAAGTATGACTGGCTCTCAAAATGGATAAATTTTCAGACAAATAGTGAAAATCAAAGTTTTTATTCAACTGCAAATGTCGACTACTGAAAACTAACTGTAGGTGGATCTATCTGTACCATGCTTCCACAGTTATTTAAAGTGTTGCTTTACATTGCATCAGCATTGTTAAGACCAAGGTCATTTTTAAACAAGGCAGTTTCTAGATCTTTTCAGGGATTGAGGGTTGGTTTCTATGTTTGCAAGGATATTTCCTAGACGTTAAATTTTTTTTGTAGTAACAGTAAAATATACCTTTCTCAATGGTAATAGTTGCTAACAACTGTAACAATTTTCTTTCTAGTGTACTGAAGCATGTTTTTACCAAGATCTGTTAAAGTCAAGAGGACTGCTGATGAGGACAGAAGTTGTACAGCTAAGAAAAATAAATTGTCTTCTGGAGGATCTTTGCTAGAGGAGACCACTGAGTTTCAAGACTGTAAGTCAGTTAGAACAGAAACTTCTCCTTCAAGATGCAATTTGAACGAAGTTGTACAAGAACGGACAGAACCTGTAGCTGGAGATCTTAATGTTGCTAATACAACTTTGGGAGAGGACAACCAAAATCCTGATGAAGATAGGTCTTCAGAAGAACCTGTAAAATCCTTCAGCAAATCCCAGCGTTGGGCAGAACCTGGAGAACCTGTATGTGTTGTGTGTGGTCGCTATGGAGAGTATATCTGTGATAAAACAGATGAAGATGTTTGTAGCTTGGAGTGTAAAGCCAAACACCTTCTACAATCTCAAGAAAAAGAAAAAAAGCTAAAATCTGATCAACTCACAAAAGCAGAATCTCCAGCGGAAGCTCATGTGCTTAATACGCCTTATTTCTACAAAGATCATTCCTTTATTTTAGGTTTGCGATATGAGCAGATTGAGAACCTTAAACTGCAGCTAGGTATTGCTGTCCAGGGCCAGCGAGTTCCAAGACCTATTGTAGAGTTTGAACACTGTGGTTTTCCTGAAACTTTAAATCATAATTTAAAGAACTCTGGCTATGAAGTCCCAACTCCCATCCAGATGCAAATGATCCCTGTTGGACTATTAGGGAGGGATATTGTGGCTAGTGCAGACACGGGCTCCGGAAAAACAGCAGCCTTCCTACTCCCTGTTATTATGAAGGTTTTGGAAGAGGTAATGAAACTTCATGTGTTTAGAGAAAGTGGTTTGCAGCTTTATCTCTTAGATTCCCAATGTAACTGAGAATATAATTGCAGTGGTTTTTATTGATGTTCAGTGGTTTATTTTACTTTTTATTGTATACTGTACTTCGTGTGTGGTTCTGTATTGCTTTTTGCTTTAGTGGTTTTATTCTAAAAGACATGCATAAGAATATACTTGAAAATTCTGGACCTGATTCGAGTTGATGTTTTGGACTGTTTAGATGCCTTTATATATATATATATTCAAATGAATAATTTAAAGATTATTTAAGTAACTCTTAATCTTTAAAATACTATAGCATTAGTTGTAAGAATGGAAGCATTATATAGGAGCATTTAAGAACAGGTGTATTGAACTCCAGAACCTCCTCTGTCTGATTATCATTAAGGTCTGCAAGACAGTTATATGCTTTTAATAATATGCACAAAATTGGAGCCTCAGTGAATAATACTTAATCTCTCTACATGATTGTTCTCATTCTTCATCTTCAGGGTACTTTACAAGTTAATGTATACATCAAGAAAGAATTTTATTTTGTTGTTTAAAATAAATTTGATTTATAATGTAAAAGAGAGGTGAGATGTTAAGAGCATAAGGGTAATCTGGTTATGAGATATTTGATCGTTCCTGGCATCTCTACATAGATACCTTTTTTTGTGGTGGTAAGTTGTTAAGTTAAACACTGCTGCTCAGTTGAAAACGACTGAAAAAGCCCTTCTTGACATAAGTGTTTAACTATGTAGTTCCCTTGATGATGCAGTGGGAAAAGAACGATATTTTGCTGTTGGTCACTTGTAAATATTCCTGTTGAAGACCAGAAAGAAACACATACCATCCAGAAAACTGCTAAATGAGTTTGTGATTGTAGTATCAATATATGAGAGAGCTTTGTTTATTTGCTGAGAGGTGATCAGTATTACTGAAATAAAGGGTTTTGGAGCTAGACCATTATTCTGCCTTCCCCCCCCACTTTTACCATATGTTCTTTGTTAGTATGTGTTAACTGGAGTTAGGAATCTGTATTAATCTCAGAGGAATCACTGCCCTGTAATTTTGTGTTTTGTGGGTTGCAGAAGTATCAGTGAGGTGATACTTGGTTGAAGAGCCTTATCTAAGGAACAACAAAAAATAAATTTAAGACTGTACAACTTTAATGACTCATCTCTACCTGGCTGACTAATAGTAGGTCAGAGGGGCTATTGATTTTGTTTTTAAATTTCAGAGACATATGTTTTTGCTGTATAAAGTTCCTAGCACTGCTTATCTTCTCTGGTTGATACTTAATGTTTTTACCTAGTGATGTGCAAGACAGTGAAGAGAAATAGTCTGTTCCTGTAATATCAAGGCTTCTAAAATATTTTTAAAATGATATCTAGATTCATCCTGTGTTTTGAGTTCATGTGGTATTTATTCTGAATTTCTGTTAGAGATTAAGTGCAATAGCTAAAATAGAAAAAAGCAATCTTTACAAACGACTGCTAGCTTTCTGGGCCTTTTTTCATTGTTAGGAAGCTATTCAAACAGTGTACTTCCACATGCATTAATTTTTTTGTTTTCAAAAGTTGAGTAATTGAGGGATAGACTTCCTTGGCATGCACTGTTAAAAGTATGATCCCTTTCTGCCAATAGAAAGGGTATTAGCAGTCCAATTGAATCCACAGTAGTTACACTATATACTTTATATTTCAGTATTGGGACATTTAGTCTCCCCAAAAGCTTTCTCTCTTAGATAGAAAGCTTTTTATCAAAATAATAAAGCAATTCCATGTTCAACAGATTTCTCCCCCTCTTTCTAGACAGAAACTCCATCTGCCCTTATTTTGGCACCAACAAGGGAGTTAGCAATTCAGATAGAGAGACAAGCTAAAGAACTGATGGCTGGTTTACCAAACATGAGAACAGTTCTCCTGGTAGGAGGTTTACCACTACCACCACAGCTTCACCGTCTCAAGCAAAGTGTTAAGGTAAGGAGTACAGAGTGGAAAGATCCTGTGGGGAGTTATGTTTTCATGACATTCACAGAAAAGAAAAATGTTACTGTTGACATGTGTGAACACACAAAAATGTGTTTTTCCTAAGTCTAAACTACTAAAACAATTGTTAGCTCTTAAAAATTTTACAGTAATACAATTTTTTTAACATTTTGACTTCTGATCAAACATCAAATGGCTTTTTTTTTTTTTAAAGTTTCATGCGTGATATTGCTGCTTTCAAAGACTGAAATATGCCATTTTATTAAACAAGGAGTTACAATTTACAGAAAAAATAGTTTGTTTTTAATGCAGATTACATTGTATTTAGACACTTCCATTAGAGTTCTAAGTTCCTTGAATGCGAGTAATTTCACTAATTAGTGCCCTTCCCACCCATGTGCTGTAACTTCATAGTCTTTCTACAACAGGTGTCTGTCCTTTCATGGAATTTCTAACTCCTGGGGGTTTTTTGTTTGTTTTCTGTCTTTTTTAGGTTATAATAGCAACACCTGGAAGACTAATTGAGATTTTAAAGCAAAGTTCTGTTCAGCTGCATGGCATAAAAATTGTAGTGGTGGATGAAGTAAGTTTTTAGCTATCAGGGCTCTATTGCCTATACAGGGCTCTATCTGCCCTTTAAGAGCCAGTGTGGGTGCCTGGTCAAACTGATTAAACATACAGAGTGTTCATTGTAAAGATAAAATATATTAAGAGAAATAAATAATTTTTAAACACAATTTAAAATGTGCTTGAACAATGCATGTTCTGTTGGCTATAAAAGACTTAACTACCTGACACGGTAATACTGCTAGACTAGTCTGAATGATTTGTTTTTAATTTTCTCACTTAGCTTTTCTTTGGAATAAAAATACTCTTGCATTGGGATTATTACATACCAGTCACACACATTATGGTTCTTCTGTCAATTCAAGTTCATGTTTCTGCTGTTTATGGAAAAATCTGGTACAAACCTAATTTTTTTGACTTAGGTGGATACCATGTTAAAAATGGGTTTCCAGCAGCAAGTGTTGGATATTTTGGAAGACATCTCTCATGATCATCAAACCATATTGGTGTCAGCCACTATTCCGGTGGGCATTGAACAGTTAGCAAATCAGCTTCTGCACAATTTTGTCAGAATAACAATTGGAGAGAAGAATCTTCCTTGTTCCAATGTTCGCCAAATTATCTTGTGGGTAGAAGAACCATCTAAAAAGAAAAAGCTCTTTGAAATATTAAATGTAAGTAATATTTTTTCTTATAAGAACAAGTTAAAAAAATGTTCGTGTCTTTACACATCTCTGTTGGGTTCTCTTCTTTAATTGTGATATGTATGTAGTGAAGAGGTGGAGTGAGGTTAAGCATATAACTGCATTAACTAGGTCAGTGGTTCTGTTATGTAGGAGCTTTGATGGCAGTTTCAGGGATTACTTCACCCCCATCACTCACACCTCCCCCTGTGCAGCAGCAAACTAGATTCCTGTGCTGGGATCCAAGTTGTAATTTTTAACTTTGGTCATTTTTTTGTGATTCGCAGTATGGCATCTCAAAGATTTGTACCGATTAGCTGTGAGTGCTAGAGGAGCAGGACTTCCTTGAACTGTCATAGCTGCTTTATGGCTTAGGAGTGGTTTGTCATTTTAAGAGTCTTAAAAAAAAAAGTGAGAAACATGATTTATTTCTTTCTTGAATTTTCTGTATATGAATAATAATATCTATCTTTTATCAGTTCTTTGGGGGGCAATTTTGGAGTCTTGGCTGCAGTTATCCAAGAAGTAAATAAGAATTTTCAACTGAACCTCAGAACTTAACAGAAATTTTGACTTCTAAAAAATGCATATGTTGACCTAAACTTGGGTCAGAGTCTACAAATCATTGTATGTTTATGATGTACAGATTTGTATAGTTTCAGGGCTGGCATCTTGCTCCTTCTTTAATCTAGAGTGTAATAATATTTATTCATCTGAAAGTGTTGTTAATATTAGAGATAATGATCAGAAGAAATTGAATCCAGGTTGCTGATGATGAGCATCAAACTGTTCTTGGTATTGAAAGCAATATCTTCTTTCATAAACTGTTTAACTTCACAGGATAAGAAACTCTTCAAGCCTCCAGTGCTGGTGTTTGTGGACTGTAAGCTAGGAGCAGATCTGTTGAGTGATGCTGTTCATAAGATTACAGGATTGCAGTGTACAGCTATGCATTCTGAAAAGTCTCAGGTGGAAAGAACAGACATATTACAGGTTTGTGGCTCCTAAGGTTGTTTTGGGGATTTTGATAGATTTAAAATGGCCATTTTTTTTTTAAAGGTAGCTTAATTTGAAATAGTTAAGTCACAATTTACTGCTTTTATGTGGGGAGGGGAGAGACAGATGGGACCAAGCAAAACTGTAGATAATAATGTAATTTTAAGTGCAGATAAATACTGGAGACTATTTCCTACATTATTTGCTTTGAAATGGGAATTTAAATATGCATTTAACTTTAATTGATTATTTTTTAATTAAAATTGTGGTTTTGATCTCTTTTTAAACATGATGGGACAAGTCTCATAGCTGGAGTGCTGCAATGGATGGCTGTAAGCTCTTCAGAAAGTACAGGCAAGGAAGGAGAGGAGGGGGGGTGGCTCTATATGTTAGGAAGTGTTTTGATTGTATAGAAATCGAGGATTGTGGTGATAAGTTTGAATGCTTATGGGTAAGAATGAGGGGAGGGCTAACAAGGCTGATATCCTGCTGGAGGGTGTTACAGGCCACCCTCCCAGCAGGAGGAAGCAGATGAGGCATTCTATAAGCAGCTGGCAGAAGTCTCGTGATCGCTCCCCCTGGTTCTTGTGGGAGACCCCAACCTGCCAGACGTCTGCTGGAAATACAACACAGCGGAAAGGAAGCAGTCTAGGAGATTCTTGGAGTGTGTGGAAGATAACTTCCTGACACAGCTGTAAGCGAGCCTGCCAGGGGAGGAGCCTCGCTTGACCTGCTGTTCACACACAGAGAAGGACTGGTGGGAGATGTGGTGGTTGGAGGCCATCTTGGGATTAGTGACCATGAAATGAGAGAGTTCTTCTGAAGTAAGGGGAGGTGCCAGCAAAACCACTAACATGGAC